GGAATCAAGAATTGGCGGAGAGAAACGATGGATAAGGACAAGTGGCGTCAGATTATCAACAAATACGTGCAAATTAAACCCGTACATTCGAATATCCAAAAACTTGTACATGAATATAAGGAACTAGGAAATCGGCGGCGAGCAGAAGAGCTTGATCGAAGTAGTCAAGATAACACAACCAGCACCGTAACTAGTCAAACTCCACCAATGTCGACCGGAGTGGTCACAAATATCTGTCCCAATTGTGGTCAAGTGTGTAAATCAACGAGGTGTAAAGATTCATCGACGAACTTGTGATAAAAAAGTAGTCAAACAAACTCCAATGAGTCAAGGATTGGTGTAAGAGACATGGGATTAGGGCGCATTACATGCAAATATTCACGAATTACCGAGAAGGCTGAACTACGGTGATTGGGTAAAAGGATGGGTACCTCCAAAACCAGATCCATGTGTGGTGTGGAGGTGGTACGCGGATGATACACCTTATCATCGATGGTTTTACGACGAGTGAACATGAAAAAAATCCGATAAAACTTTTGCGTTCTCTTGAGCGCAACCAAAATTCAGAGATTTTTTGTTTTCTCATTTTTTTGATCTTCACCCTACACCGGTTTCCGGTATGGGTATGTTCTTCTTCTTCTTCAGACAAAATACTGCTTTATTCTATAACTTCTAAGTTTCATTTACAAAGTAAACAAACCTTTTCGCTCAGAATAAAGTATTTCCGCAGACAATTATCTCCTTTCTCATATCTAACTATGTGTTTGAGAGAAATGAATAGTCTGTCTGTTAGGACGATATTTGCGTTCCTCATTCTTCTGTTTGAAGGTGAATTCTGACACTGAGTTGCATTTTATTAAGAAAGTCGCCAGATATGAGTGACTTTTTGAGACAGGATGTTTCTCCTCTGTCATTTGTCTAGCATTTGTCTAGCTGTTGAACGTGGATAAGTCTGCTGATACAGATCGCACTGTTATTTTCTTTTTTCTTATTGTTTTCGTTCTGTTTCAGTCATTCTACCTCAAAAGAAGATTATGAAGTCAAATGGCTTTTTGCTTCATCTTTTATGATAAAACAATTTAAATGGCTATTTCTCACAGAAATCTAAGAAAGAAAGAAGAGACCCTAGTGAGCAGAGCTATTAAAAACATTGCGCAGAGTTAATTTTAGATGTCGTAGTCGAGGGTTCGTAATTGAGATCATTTTTTATAATTAGAGAAATAAAATTGATCTCAGTTTGGAAAAGGACTAGTAATTCCTATTTTTAATAAAATATAGATTCCTAAACTGTATATAATAAAAATTGTATAAAATACATCCTTGTAGCTACTACTTTCAGAGGTAGGACGAAAATAATGTACTTGAACTTTTCGTCCTTTTTCAAGTAAAAGTATTATACTTGTGCTTAAAAAAATTTACTTGTACTTATAGTTGTATTTTGAGACGAATACTTTTTTACTTATACTTAAGTACGAAAAACAGGACTTTGTAATTTTACTTGAAATATGAAACAATTTCCTTTTGTGTATTAAAAGTATGTTTCTGATTTCTTGAAATTTTGGTAGTTACTAATAATGCTAAAGCAATTATCATAAGTGTATTTTATCATACTCTGTATCTTTATTGTCTATATGTCTTATTTTGAGTTATTCAAGCTATTTGATTTTTAGCATTATGAGTAATTACCAAAATTTCAAGAAATCAGAAGCATACTTTAAATACACAAAAGGAAATTGTTTCATATTTTAAGTAAAAGTACAAGGTCTGTTTATTCGTACTTAAGTATAAGTAAAAAAGTATTCGTCTCAAAGTACAAGTATAATACTTTTACTTGCGGTACTTGTACTTGTCCGATCTCTGACTACTTTATTAAAATATGGATTCTTAAACTAGTTGTTAGTGCACTTAATAGTGCCTGATACGACAACCATTCGGTAATGTAACATAAACAACTAACTTCATGCTAAATTCATCCCATGTATAAATACCGTAGCTTTGATAAAATAGTTTTGGTGACGTTCTAAATGTTACTGTTATTTCTAAATGACGTTCTGAGAATCTATATTTTATTAAAATAGGACCTACAAGCTTGTTTTCCAAACTGAAATCACTTCTCAAAATTGATAGATATGCCATTTCTAAACTGAGATTATTTTATTTCTTTAATTATAAAAAGTGATCTCAATTAAGAATGAGCCGTCGTAGTACTATCTCTACTTTAGACTATCGCTTTTTATTTTTAAATGATAATTGTTCATTGTTAATGGAAAAACATTGGAAATATTACTGTTCTGTCTTGTCACTATCAAATTCTTGCTCTTGCCTTATATTGTCGACTGTTTTCCAGAGTTTATTAATTTACAGTCGCAGTAAAGTGACCAAAAAAAATCTCGAATTCGTTTTGTTGTTCATTTTATTATTGTAGATTCTATTTTCAAAAAACAAATAATGGTTCTGCTAAACGCGTTAGATTTCAGCGCGTTTATAGTACACTAACGCATCAAAACGCGTTACCCGTTCAAACTAACGCGTTTCAACACGCGTTGACTCAAAAAAAGGCTTGTCTGGATGATGTGTTACTGTATCATCGACAAATAACCGTGTTGTTCAATCTGTGTTATTTCCGATCCATGAAAATCAAAAACAAGAGAGCGGTCCAAGGTCGCTACCTTGGGGCAAGCCACAATTTATTGGTGATGGTACTGATTATTTACCGTTCACAACTGTTATTATTTTCTTGTCATTTAAATAACTACTAAATCAATTGAATAAATTTCCTTCCACTCCTATAACTACTAATTTATACAACAAACATTTCAACCAAACACGATCAAACGCTTTTGAAAAATCAAGAAGTACTGCTTTTGTTGGTATAAACTATTTATTAAGTAAAGTATTTCACCATATCTGCACTAAATCGGACAAACCATTATATAGATATAGATAAGGTTTTCATATAGTTAAAAAACAAAATCTATCAAAGTGAGCAATAAGAAAACGAAACAAATAAAAAACCAAAAAAATATTAAAATGTTGATGGCAGATGAAATGACTCTCACTCATCAAACATGCCCCTATGATTTTCTGTTGAAACGTTTAGACTGCTCTTGTTAAACCATTATTAAACCATTATTAGAATTTTGGTGAATGAAATGTACTAAATCTATTAACTAGCTCATGGTTAAGTCTCCTTTGAATTCCCGACTGCAGGGTTGATAATAAATGGTGTTGTTTTAAATGATGACGATTTTTAATTTTTTGAAAAATATTTTTAAAGAAGAAAAATTGAAAAAATTTAAAGGGTCTAAATTTTCGAAAAATCCTTTAGTTTCAAAACAGTTCACATTCTTTTCTTTTTCGTTCTTCCAACTGTTCGAAAGTATTTTTTCAGACTCAGCATTCGAAACAGAGTATGAGCATGATGCTCGATGGAGGTTAAAGTCAAAGGTCTTTGGATCACTGCCGATTTTTGTACTTCACTAGAACCGTCATTAAACGAGCTTTGAAAGTATAGATGGTTGTTTTTTTATTTTACTACGTCATTGAGAAAACTCATTTTTTCTAAACCAGAACCGAAAAAGTCGAAATTCTGCCCGTAAAGGATAAAAAAGTACATCATTCGACTCAATTTTCTGACGCTAATTTAGAATATGATATTTTACTTGCATAAAAAGTGAGTTCTGATGAAAGGAGCAGAATTCTGAGGATTATGAGCAGAATTTTGACTTTTTCGTTTCTGATTTAGAAAAAATGAGTTTTCTCAATGACATAGTAAAATAAAAAGACATCCATCTGTACTTTGAAAGCTTGTTTAACGACAGTTCTACTGAAGTACAAAAATCGACAGTGGTCCAAGACGTTCATACGGGATAGACGTTTGACTTCAGTATCCATCAAGCATCAGTTAGAAAAACGAAAAAGAAAAGAATGTGAACTTTTTTGAAACTAAAGGGTTTTTCAAAATTGCAGAGTGAACATTGAATGAAAATATATTAACTGCTTTATATCGTACAAGATAACATCTAATGATGAGGTAAAAACATAAATTTATTTATTTACACAAAACATTAGAATCATTCCTAGACTTGCAATCTGTGAACAGTTGTCTTCTGTTAAGTTAAATATTTCATTGTAAAATGTATTGTTTTTCATGGTTTTGGATCCTTTAGTGGCCAGACTGGTTCAAATGGTGATAATACCAGACGAATTTGATCATTTTTCAAACATCCATTAATGAATTCACTTTTTGATAACTTTTTATTATGATCAATATCGAACATTTTAAAGATATCTATTGTAACATTTTCTGGTGATATCATTTGTTTTCCTGTTATACTAAATAATATTTGAAACATTTCTATCATTTCTTGTGGTTCAATTGTTTCTGAATGATCTTTGTCAAATAACGAGAATGTATATTCTAGTTTATCTGTCGGATCACCAATAGTAGTTAGAGCATAAGCAATAAGAAATTCTGTAAAATCAATCAAATTATTACCTAAAATACAAGTGTATAAGAATGATGTAAAAGAATATAATATATTATCAGACACATACCATCTTTGTCGAATGCTCGAAATACATTTTCAGCTATTTTTTCAACATCTCTTGTTGAACTATTTTCTAATTGTTTATAAAATTTAGTGAATTGCGATTTTGTGAGTTGACCATTAGGACAAACTGTTAAAAATTCACGATACCATGATTGAATGATAGTCGGTGTTAAATGTGTTTGTTTCATTAAATAACGATAATCATTTATTGCTAAATCTTCTTCGATTTTTCGTTGAGATGAACGATTTCCCATAATGCTGAAATTAATTCACATAAATAAGAAAGAAAGTCAAAAAAATGTAAGATGCAAAAACTTTTGTATAAAATAAAATATTTCTAATTATTGCTAATGTGTAGAATCTCACACAACAAAAAATATCTATATTTTTTTTAAAAGAAAACTGCATAGTCTATTTAAATAATAGATATGAATACTACTGAACAAATAAATTTATGTCTTAAGTATAGGACACGAGTTGACTAAAACCGTTTGTAATTTGAAAATGGATGGCAAATGCTGTAAAATTATATATCGGTTGACAGAAGAAAATTTTAATCTTTTATTTGTTAAAGACAAGCATGATTTTCTTCTTTATAATAAGTTTGCATACCTAAATAGTAATGATATTGTTTTTTCTCCATTTAGTTAAACGTTTGTCATTTTTTTCTTCTTTATTTTTGATAATATAATGGCGTCTCAACTCTGTCATTCTGAAAAACTATCAACACTGACGTATATTGAACAATTATAGTAAAATTCATTAGAATTTTTCATTTCGCTTCTCTAAAGTAGTTAATGCAACAAGGACTAAAAAGTTGACATTCAGCTCGACAGTTTTTCAGATAGTTATTATAGAATGTTAATTTTGTAATATCCTCATTTTGGATACATATGGCACAACTCTTTCACAAATTAAAAAATTTCGTATACCATTTAAGTATGCACCAGTTCTAGAACTGGTATTTGGCCATCTGGAAAAAAGGTTTATTACCTGGTAATTAAGAATCGTTCAGTGTTGCGAAACATCTCATTTTGTAGACAAATGTTTGTTCTACAAAACGCATTGGTTCAAAAAAAGAAATGCAAGATTAATTGTATGAAAAGTAAGTTCCGCTAAAACAGTGGAACTGTTCCGCCAACAATTCCTATGTTTCTCAATACTCGTATTTACAACATAGTTCATTTCAAAAGCTTTTAGACCAGTAAGTTTTGTAGAGCAAACATTTTTCTACAAAATGAGATGTTCTGCAACACTGATCGTTTCTTAACCCTTTACGGCCGGATGTGCCCAAATGGGCACATTGAAAGAGTATTTTACCTAAGAACATGTTCAAACTAGTACCAAAAATCAATCTTATACCATGATAATTAAGTATATGTATGACGCAATCATTTCGCCTTTCGTTCAAAATAATTGCACTATGCCGTATCGAAAAGAGCTCATGGCAATTAACTACAATGGAAAAGCAAGAAAGCCATAGTTATCGCTTTTTCACAATTTATTGATAAACAAGACACAAGCTTTTTATGGCAAAAATCTTCTCATTTAGTGAGTGTTATATGCCGATATTTGCGCCAATTTTTTCGATAAGAAGATAAACAAAAAACTCAAAATGTTCCCTTTTGGGCACTCCCGGCCGTGGAGGACCAAAAGTCTGTGAAGTTCTCATTGATCTTTACATTGAACTTGATAGGCTGTATTACATCCTAGTGAAGCCTCATTGTGCTCTAAGACTATTCTGAATCTCGATTTCTCTAGCACAGATGAAGTCTCGAACGTATCGACGACAACACAGCTAGCATGATCATCTGAAAAGAAACTGAAAATACCAGTGGTTCGAGAGGTGCTGTTTTCGATAGTGTCAGTAAGATAAACAAGACACGCGAAGTGATGAGGCTCTTTTGTCTAGTATCCTAGCGTCAGTACTGGCACAGTTCGCCCTAATCGACTCCCCGACGTAGCGATGAAAGATGCCAAACAATTGTCAGAGGAAGGTCGCGGGTCAGTGGATCATCGAATCACCTACGTAGATGACGTCTTGTTATGTGCCACACGGTGGTACGACAACAACGTAGTTAATTGTCTTTCAACGTTATACGGTTGTGAATCTATCGATACAATGCAAAGGTGGTCGGCCAAAGAGAAGGCACATATACAAGTGAAACGACCGAATGTGATCAAGGCTTACAACCAGTTCAAAGGTGGAGTTGATCTGCTTGATATGCTGGTTTCACTGTATCGAATCAGTATTCGTTCAAAAAAGTATTATGTAAACGTTATCTTTCACCTGATTGTTCTTTCAATTGTAAATGGTGGGTTACTCTACCGCCGTCAATGTTCTCAACTACGATTACCGAAAAACGAAATTCGGTCCTTATTGGAATTTCGTATCGATGTTGCTGAAGCTTTGTTGAAAACAAGTATCCCCACACAGCCCAAACAGCGTGGTCGACCATCTCTACGCATTCGATCTCAAGAAGAAAATTCAACAGAAAAACCACGTCGTTCGTCCATTCGACTTCCACCAATTGTTGTTCAACATGATGGCGTCAACCATTGGCCAGCTACAACGGGTAAAGGGCGCTGTCGTTTTCCCGGCTGTAGTGGTAAATCCACGATACTGTGTTCGAAATGTAAAGTACGACTTTGTCTCAACACCAGAAACAATTGCTTCATTGCTTTTCATCAATGACATCACATCTTTGTAGACATATTACTGAACATAGGATTTTGTCTCTTATTTTTTTCTTGTTTGACTATACTTATACTTCTATGGTTTCTTTTTCGAACTGGTCTTAGAAATG